AGGAAAAGTCAATAGAGAATGATATTTTGCTGTAGCTCTCAAATGCTATTCTTATATCACTGTGTCAGTGTCTGCTTCGACTCGTTTTCATTCAATTTATATACAGCCAATAGCTTGTATCATCACTGCTTATATTACTAGTGAAAAATGTTTAGCCCAATTTTCTAATGTTTATAGGTTCTAATGATTTGACCATTTCCTTAACGGAACACTTCTGTGTTAGTTGGATGAAGGCAGTTGGCAGGAAGCCCCACTAAGCTTATGCTTCGTGCTTTTCGGTACTTGTCAACAAGGTGCATATGCGAACTCGACGGGACTGATATCCTCCCCGAGATTCTAAACCGCATAACTCAGTGTTGCAGTCAGAGATGTTACCACTGAACTATTGGGGTCGCAACCGACCTCCTGCGGGAATAGATTAATTATATTAATTAGTTACTAGAGGACAACTGACTTCATGTTGTCTCTAGTCCTAAGCGCTGATCGAACTCTGTCGATCATTTTACAATATGGTCACCAGACTGGGCAACTCAGGATTGCGATGCACTTTGATAGATGTTAGTTGGATGGACCTGAACCTAGGTTTCATGCTTGTTAGCACTAGTTAACAAAACGTATCTGTTATCAGTACTGTAGATTTCTTAGGAATTCAAGTTAAAAATCACTTTTCACTAATCGAACTTATGTGAAATTAACAACAGCCTTTGAGTTAAGTTCGTTACTTGTTCTCAGTTGTTTATTATCAAGACAGTTATCATCATCATCATCAACTGACATTAGTTAGAAAACCCTTGAAGATAAAGGAGCAAAGACGCAACTACTTTACTCTAGATTGGAATGTATGTGGTTGCGGGAATCAACTGTTGCCTTGTCCCAAATTAGTAGAAACCGAGTGCCAAGTCCTTCTAATTATTCGACAATTCTCTAGAAGATGTCAGTTCACGATGAAGATGACCTTGAGAACAGTCTAGTGGATTTCATTTACGAATGCTTAGAAGACTGTTTCTGAGGTGTCATCACTTCAGTGAAGAAAACGATCTCTGAGATATGATTATTGTTGATGAGAGTACCTTTCAAAAATGAATTCTCATTAAAACAGTCAATATACTGTCATAAATGAACACTTTTCTTTGCTCAATCAGAAACATCCCAATTAAATCAAGGCGGGGGCGGAGGCCAGGGGGAAGTAGGGAGTTCATTAGTACTGATATTTATTACCTAAAGAAGTATGGCTCATACTCTCAATCATTTTTGAGGTGGGCAGCTTATTCGTTGACAAATTAGAGTTAAATTGAACTGACCAATCACGAACGAAACTTTTTGTGTAGGCTAGTTACTTTATGCTCAACATTTATCTTATTTATTCTTATGATACATTCTGTTATTTGGAATTAGCAACTGACCTCTGATAGTCGTCTTTGCAGGAAATCTGTTTAATGTCAATAACTACTGTAAGTAAATGATAAATTCGAAAAGTTTACATAATTTCTCTCTCTTAGACTCATTTATTTTTAGTAACAGATGTCTATTATCTATCCTGAAAATATGCTAATTTTAAGCTTTTGAAGTATATTTGTTATCAATGTTGACTATATACCAAAATGAACAGGAAGTAAGCAACTAACGAGTTAGGGAAGTTCTACTTATCCTTCTGAAAAATAGATTTGTCCAATAGTTTGATTCATTAAAGCTATGAAATGTGACGATCAACTTTTAGGCAGCTTACTCCAGACATGTTTATACACGCGTACATTGAATATTTGTTTGGATGTAATATCTTGTTTACTTCTAAATTTAGGCAGAATCCAACATCCATGTCAAGGTCATTGCCATGTCAACCAGTGAAGCAACCAGACGAGGTCGCTTAGTTAGAACAAATTAGAAGGTCACTGGGATTTTTATAGGAATGGTTAGTAGATATAGCTGTTAGAGAGGCAGACATATAAATTGGATTTAAAATTTTATGCTATTTTTATTAAAGTATGTGTGTGTCTATCGCTCATAGCCTGTTATTAAGTTAGACGATGAAACAATTGTGAATCATATTTGCTAAAGTGAGTATTAAAGTTCAAAAAGAGAATAATCATCTTCCGAATCCTAAGGCTTTTATCTCATCAAGTGATCTCCAGTGGACAAACTAACAGAACCACTGATCAACTATCAGTTGGAATAACGTGTTGGTATATTGGTTATCTCTAGTCAATTGAATAAATTAGCAGTTTAGCTTTCCAGGATCACCTTGGTTGACAGATCGTGATAGCGTACAACAGTCATGTAGAGTTTAGTGAACAGCAAATTTACATCACAAATCTTTATCAACCTCATTCAACAGCTATATGAAGACGCCGGATGCCAAGTGATCTACAATGGAAAGCTCATTGATACCTTTGAAGTGAAGACAGGGATAAGATAAGGCTGCCTACTATCACCCATGATCTTCCTGATTGTGGTGGACTGGATCATGCAGCAGACAACTGTGGGGAGCAAGAAGATGGTCATAGGCTGGCTGGACTGATGAGAAGAGCCTAGAAGATTTGAATTTCGCCAATGATTATTGATATCTAATGTCGCACAAACTCGAAGATCTACAGAGGAAAATCAACAAATTGACAAAAGTGATGGGGCAGCGAAAACGGCACCTCAAGTGAATGTAGAGAAGACGGAGGTGATCAAGATACCCACCCAACAACAGTAACGACAACAAGCACCAATCACCACCAACAATAGAAACAAAGGAAGTAGTCTCCTTCACCTACACCTACTTAGGCAGCATCGTTTCAACCACAGGCGGCGGCACAGAAGAAGATGTCTAAATCAGGATCAGAAAAGCAAGACACTCTTTCACTAATCTGAAATCATTTCGGAGATCTACTACACTCAGCACAGAGAACAACATCTGGATTTTCAACACTAATACCAGTCAAGTCAGTGATGCTATATGGTTCAGAAACTTGGCGCGTAACGAAAAGCACTTCCAACAAACTACAGATATCCATCAACAGCTACCGCCTACGCTTACTCCATAGTGAAGATGAGATTAGAGGGTGAGAAAGAATAAGCAACAAGAAACTGTGGCAAGGAACCAACGAAGAACCTATTACCCAACAAATATGCATTGGGAGGAAGTGGATATGGATTAGGCATGCACTGAGAATGCCGATTGGGGACATAACGTGTCAGGCCAGGCACTCTAGTGGAATCCAAATGGGAAACGACGAGTTGGGTGTGGGTGCCGATGGTGACATGGAAGAGATCATGTGAGGAGGAAATGAGAGGTTGTGGGCAGTCGTGGAGCCAGGTTGAAAAGATTGCAGGAGAGAAGAGAGTGAAATGGCGACGTGCTAGTGAAGCCCTATGTTGCACTAGGAACCCAAGGGAATAATAATAAATTGACTTAGAACAGTCTAGCTATGCATGATTAACTCAATGTAATGTTTAGTTTGTCTAGCTGTTATGGAAATGTATTTTCTGAAGTTTAAGAAATTACCTAGGTGACAGGATTTATGATGGAGCCGTTGTTATTACGTTTAAGCACTTGACTTCTGACCTTTAGTTGGAAAGTTGGAAACTCACTGTACCAAAAGCACATGAAGTATACATAAACCTCATTTAGCTTATTACACAAATTCCTATGTGGTTTATGAATTTTAATGACAGAACCTACCAGAGATACAAGTTGGTTGTTTAGTTGGCCTATAGAAGAAAAAAACCTTGAGATTGTTGCTTTGAATTCATGTGTAGCTCAGGTTTGTATGTTCCAAGTTTAATTCTTTGTTCATCCAGCTTATTCATCGAAAAAGTATATCTTTGATCCTATGGCACCTCAGACTTATCTGTACAGCCTCGGGTTACTTGATTCTCACACCTTTATTAGTAGTGAGGGTGAAAAAAAATACCCCCGGAGAATATCCTGAGTCCAGTTACTATGGTGACCAATATTTTATTATAGCATCTTTTCTTTCCTCGATAGTTATTCTTAAATCCAAGCTGTAGCTGCGAGATGTGTAGAAAAATCTTGTTTGTTTCTTGTATACTGTTGGATAGCTTAGTAGTACTTTACTTATGACTTCGATCAAGAGATTTTTGTCCTGTACATCTGAATACACCTGTATGTTGACAGATTATGTTACCCTAAATGAGATTTATTACCAATTGCTTCAAATGTTCGATATATTGACGAACCTCTCCTAGGATACCAATGATAACCATAATTTGATAAGTGTCAAATAACTTTCAGGTTGAATGAAAAATAAAAATCCTTATTATCCTTATGTTTGGCTTGAATATTGAATACTAGAAGTCAATCAATGAAAAGTCCTGCTTGACCTGAATTTTTATATTTCTGATAAAACTTCATTATGTTAATAAATCGGTCATGAGATTGATAATTCGTATAGCTGTCAGATTCTAGGCACTAATCTAATTATGTTAATGAAGGATCGTGGCTAGCAGTGGAATCCAGGATGCGTACTTCGTCCTATTTGGGACTTGTCAGCCAGATGTACCTGTTCCCCAGTGAGTGATGTTGTTCCCACAGGGATTCGGACTCAGGAGCGATCGCTTCAAACACCAGCGCGTTACCCACTACACCCGAGTCCGAATCCCTGTGGGAACAACACCACTCACGGGGAAGCAGGTACATCCAGCTGATGAGTCCCAAATAGGATGAAATACGCATCCTGGATTCCACTGCTAGCCATGATGCATCATTAACATAATTAAAACGCTGACAATATCGAGGCATCCTCACAGGAGCCCATATGCTAATAGAGACCGATCAATTCGGTCTAATCAACCACGGTATCATATAAAAACAATTATACTAATCTATATATGTCGATCAAATTTCAGTCTGACACTTATAAAGTTAATGTTTTGAACAGTAGTAAGACACTATAGTGAAACAGTGTTCAATGTTCAATGTGACAATAATCCTTATTTTATTTGAAGTAATTATCTTTTCTAACTGAAAATAATTTTTGAATATTATTTATTTTTAGATTCATGACTAAGTTATAAATTGGAGTGAAGTAAAAAGAAAACATTATTTCATTTTATTGTTTTAATTATGTCTACAGTAACTACTTGTTTAAATAAACTAACACATGAACACAATGGAAATATAACAAAATCAACTATTGAAAACTTTAATCTACACCATAACATTCATAATCACCATTCAAATAATAATAATAATAATAGTAATAATAATAATAATACATTATATTCAATGAATCATATAACTACACCGAATTCATCTCCATTTTCAAATGATACTTCAACAGAACAATGTAATCGTAATACTTCACTGCCTGCACCTCATTTATTGTTACAATCGAAATCTGACTATACACGAACATCAGTTATGCTGGATACACATAATCATAATGTTAACAATAGTAATGATAATAATCATAGTAGTACTAATCGTGTTAATACTTCCTATTGTACATCGAATAGTTTAAGTTATGCAAATAATTCTGAGGCTGTGAATTTAAACCATTGTGATCAAACATTGGACAGTAAACAAGCATCATTTATTAATACGACTACTAGTATTACTAGTACTGCTGGTACTGTTACTCACAATTATCATAATGGTACACGAGGTAATTATAATTATCCACGTGGTAGTAATTTACTCACTTCTCAATATGATAATATAACAGATTCTTTAGCCTATAATAATGAATATATAAATTATTCAACTATATCAGAAAATGAATTTGGACATTGGAATAGTAATTCTTTAACAAATGATTTGAAAATCAATTCTAGATCAGAATTTCGTACACATATAAGTGATACATCTCAACAGTTATCCTCATGTGTAGATGGATTTCCTGTACTGTCAACAAATGAAAATATTCCAGGTTTCTCAAGTATAACTCGTTGTCTAACATCTTGTCCAACACCAAGACATGAAGAACACACAGGACATCAAACAAGTACACATATAACTGGTGGTAATCATACACAACATCATACTTTTCAATCTAATGGATATTGTAATATTCCAGAAAGGATATATGATAATACATCCAATAGCCCATCAAATTTAACATGTGGACAGACTATAATCCATTCAAGAATCACTGGTGATATGAAGAATACACCTCAAGTGAATAATCGTTCTTCTCGTAGTGCATCAACACCGACTAGACTATTAGTTGTATCAACAACTAGTCCTGTGACAAGTACAATCACTATGACTCCTGATTCTTCAACAATAGGCTTTACAGGTAATAAATTTGGTTGTTCATCAGATGATGGTGAAGCATCTCCTACACCAACATGTAGTAGTGGATGTCCACAAACCCCTGGAAGAACAAGGAAACCTGCACCTACACTAGCTACTGGTAGAAGAAATTTAAAAGGCGAATTAGTAAGTTACTGTACTGTTAATTTCAATGCGTAAACTTCAATATCAGATGAAGGGTTGTTTATACAATGTCTAGTATATCTTGTTCCATCAATATTATGCTTTATGTTCCTATCTTGTACTGCGACTATTCAATCAAGTATGTAAGATATCCTTAGTTTTTGACAAAGTGACTCGTGTTCTAGACTGCGGTAACCGTCTTCTCAAATATTCAAACATCTTGATAGACCTTAAAATTGGTGGCGTTATCGATATAATAATGTCGCTTCTGCTTCACTATATCTCACTTCTTGTGAATTAGAATTAACGTACGTTTCGGCCTATCTAAGACCCCTCAGTGGGGACGTACCTTCACCTCAATGAGTGATGTTCTTTCCACTGAGACTTGAAGTAATGACTACTGGGTTCGACTGTCAGTAGGAATAATATCACTCACTGCGGTGATGGTACATTCAGCTGACAGATCCCAGATAGGGCAAAACGTGTGTCCTGGATTGCAGTATTAGTCACCAAGATGAATACAACATTATGAATATCCAACAGTATCAAGTCGTCCGTATAGGAGCCCATCTGTGAACAGAAACCAAGTAATTCGACCCAGTATGGAAATTAGTTACTTCAGAGTATATTACAGTGCAAGACGCGCTTAGTGTTATATTTTTGTCTTCTGTTCTCCAATGAAAATCTTCGGCTCAAGTTTTTAAATTTCTGACTCAACACCACTAAGATGTGGCTTTCGCCATGAAATGGTATCAGTTGAACAGTTACTGAAATCATTGGTGAACTCTTTTGCTTTTCAAGCGGTCTGGACCTTCAATTTGATCAAAATGTTCAGTTTTGATGGTGATATTGTTACGAGAAGATTTTGGGACGAAATTCCAATAATTGTTACATTTATGACTTTAGGCGCTTTATAATGTAACATGATTGCATTCGTGTATCTTCTTTAGATGCCTCTGACTACATACAACTGCAATGCCCCAGTATCCAATGGTTTGTTATCAGGACTTCTTTTGTTATGTAGCTCAAGTAGATCGTTAGCAGTTTTCGTTGATTTACTAGTTTGACAAAGGAAAGCTGTAAGTAGTCTGAAACAAATAGGAGCACCAAATTACAGTGGGCTAGTACCAGAAGTATTTAAAGACGGTTTTCGACGATTATTAGACAGATTAAATGAAGTGTTAACTTATGGATATCAAATATGATCCACCTGGACTTCTGTGATTTACTGACTGACCGATTCTTCAACAAGTCGGAGAAATCATCCTGTAATAACCATAAGGGAATCAGTCTGAAGAATATAGTGTCTAAAATCCTAGGTACTATGATCATTAAATGACTCAGTGAAGCTCAAAAATAGAAAACTTGGGAAAATTAGGCAGTTTTCAGACCTGGTCGTGGTGTAGTGGGCGTTGATGATAACAATGGATATAAGTAGTATGTATTGGGAGGGTGGCAGGAATCATAGGGAATTACCGGCAATGGGTAAGGTTTCTGCCAAGAGCAACGCAAGGGATAACGCAGGCGTATTAAAATGGATGCTGCTGGTAAGAATGTATGAAGAGCAGATCAAGAGCAAATCAAGAGAGGAACAGAAGAGGAACGAAGCACATTTGCAAATGACTGGGTTAGTGCAAGGTGTACCATATGTAATGACAACCGTTCCAGGTCATAACGACGAACATTCTATCCCTCGTGGGTTGTCCTCTATGATTATCCTGACAGCGACATCAATCGAGGAGACGGAAGATCAAACATGACGTGAAAAATGTTTTTTGAGGAGATCTGGGATGGTAGTCGTTACGCATGGTACAGTGGGTGTATCGACCAGGTATTCACTCATCAGTAGGTTCTGGAACAAAAACACTTGCTGACAGGCAACAATGGCTGCATTTCCTGATCTGAACGTGACATTTGGCTCATTGACCGAGAAGTCTTATGAAAATTTGTCATTAAGACGACCATACTGTACTAAAAGCCTTGTACTCGAACATCCACGAGTGTGTTAGAGCCTACGGTCACTTCGGTACATCCAGCGGTGTCTGTTAAAGATGTCCGCTTCCTACATTCCCATTTAATTTTAACAGATATTTCAAGTTGTTATTCATCGAAGACTGACATCAGTTGGAGGAACAAAGGAAACCTGGGAGCACTGGACAGCTGTTTCGTCCTAGTATGGGACTCCTCAGCAGTGCGCACCCACGACCCCACCAGCAGGGATCGTGGGTGCGCACTGCTGAGGAGTCCCATACTAGGACGAAACAGCTGTCCAGTGCTCCCAGGTTTCCTTTGTTCCTCCAACTGATGTCAGTCTTCGATGAATAACAACTTGAAATATTTCCAAATCTCCACAACCCCCTCAAAATTTAACAGATATGTTTATGAAAGTCCCTCTCTCCCCGTCTGACTTTACAGTGACTGACTTCTTCGCTAGAAACGTCTTAGTAGAACTAGAATATGGAGATAACTGAGTTCTGTTTAGTGAAAATGTTGAAAAGATGCAGGGTCTTCGGGATTCATTGAGTGACATTTTAAGAATGTTTGGGATGCTTTTTTCGTCACCTAAATGCAAATTGTTGCTCCAGGACTGGTCTTCAGTGTTGCCCTTCCTAATAATGGGGAGTGAGATGGTGCAATGCGTTGAACACTTAGCTTACCTTGGAAAAGGGACCAGCCCTGGTGCGTTGGTTGGCAGGCGATGAAACTCCTGTACAGATAAAAAACAGTCTCGCTTGGTTTTCACCGGCTTACTCCATTTACGTCTCCACCGTGATATCTGATTGTTTATTCAGGGTCGAGTGTACTGCGCTGCAGTTCCCTCTGTTCTACTGTATGGCTGCGAAGTATGGCCACTAAAGGTAGAGAATATGAGAAAACTCTAGGTCTCCGATCAAAGTAGTATAGGATATGTGTTGTCGTCTCACCCACGTCATTAATGTAGAAGTCAAGTGTAGAGTTTTAAGGAGAAGAGGAAAGTCAGTTGATGAAGTAGTGAAACTTTATCGGACCAGGTAACTGGGGCATGTGTTATGCATGCCTAGTCACCGTCTTCCCGATGGCAAAATGTTGGCGGAAATAGGTTTAGGCTGTAAAAAGGTTGAAGGTGGCTAGATTAAAGAACGGAATCAATCTGTGAAGTCTTTGACCATTAGTCTGAGTTGTGTAGGGAAACGTAAACTTCCCGACTGGTGTCCATGTAATAACTGCAATCACTGCTTGGAGAATCTAGGCGATTTGGTTGAGAATCGATCACAGATATGCAGATGCATCCACACATTATCTTCTTCTTAATCGTCATATCGAATTTCATTATTGGCTAACTCTTTCTTCTTCTCTTTTCAAACGTGTGTGTCTACTGCCTTTCTGTACTGACATGAGGTATGACAACTTGAAGTGTTGCGCAGTAATCTTGACTGACTACTGATGAACTTGTCAGATACCGGTGAGTAACTTAGGTATAAATATTCAAGGTGATTTTTTAATATACTACCAGTGATAGTGTAAGCTGATTAAAAATTCAAGGCGCAGATAAACATTGTGAAGAATTTTTAAGAGTTGGCCTGAACTATGTATGGAGATGTAGGCTTTCAGTTAGGCTCACGGAAACCGATATCCATCTAGAGACTCTGGATGACACTGCTGAGAATTGATCCTATTAGTGCAGATGGATTAACAGTTAATCGTCACCCTGACTGTTTACTAACAGTTCGTTGTCTGTTATCCCTCACATCTTCGTTGGAATTTCTATAAATTTTAGTGTATTCTTTATATTTCTTCATTGTTCATCTTTTTTCTGGTATCTTCATGTACTGATGTGAAATGGGACAACTACTCAGTAACATCAGACCCTATTTTGATTTTGTAAATGACAAAGTTGGAAATCAATCAAAACGGTTTTTGATCTAGAAGGCGATTGATTTGAAGTTCTCCGAGTGTTAACTAAACTGGAGTCCGGAAACGACACTGATTGTTTTATAGTAGTTGTAGAGACATACACAACAGAAGGCAGCGACACTTTTAATCCATATCATACTAGATACTCTTAAAACACTAATTTAATTCCAAATTAAGCTTACCTTTCAGTGCCTAAGTAAGTTTCCGATCAGTGTAAGATTGGTGTTAAGAAATAAGACTATAAGTGATTTGTTGCACTTTAAGACTTTAATGTGTCATTCTTCTTTAGGCGTTTCCGTGTGCTCCTTGATTATTAATGCAAAATTTTGTTGAATTAACGTGAAATTTCTACAGCTATTTAGTCTTGAATTTTCTTGTACTACGCCTTTCCCTAACAGACCGTGACCATATATTATATTAGCGCTAAACACACTAGGCATAAAAATATCCTTTTCTGATTTCAAATAATATCCAAATCCAACCAACCTTTTTTTTGTCTGACCTTATCACAATACTAAATATATAGGCATAAGGTGGTAAATCAAATTATTTTGCTGAATATCTACCAATTTCAGGTCGATACGTTTTAAGGTCATAGTATTAGCCAATCAGGTTTGAAAAATAGTTCTTTCAGTCACACTGATGAGTCATAACTCGATTCTTCCCATATCCACTTTTCCTACCTAGTGCAAATTGCTTTTTCAATATACACGATAGATAGTTAGTTAGGTGGGTAGGTGGGGAACAAATAGGCGAGAAAGTGTAATATATGTTGAAGGAGATACAAGGTCGGATTGTTTTAGTCGATAACATTCGATATATACTTAGCTTACTGAAACTTACATTTCTAATGCAACGTTGTTGTCAATTTCACTGTCAGCTTCATTGACTGGTCTGTCAGTAGGGAATAAATGATATTATGTCTAGTCATTAGTTCGAACTGAATTCTTTTGACATTACCATGTTTTGTATTTAATGATGAGTAACTGCGAATGATTGGTAAGCGACTACGGATTGGGGTTCTATGCTTTCTGTCATTCGTTAACATAATGTTCTTACAAGTTCAAGAGGAGTTATGCAGTCCTGAATGACACTCGAGGTACTGTACGATTAATGGGATTTGACTTCAACTCTATGGGTCACGGGTTCGAACCCCGTCCCACCTACCGGGATCTACGGAGTCACTATCACTAGGCCTCACAAAATAGATGTGACCAACTGCGTACTGAATGAACATGCATTTGGTTGTTGAGTGCATTTCAACTTTTCTATATCCTTTAGGCAACCGCTTATGGTTACAATCAGTGACGAGTTATGATACGTGTACGAATGCCTAAAGGAGAATCAGTTCTCTGGGTGACTGCTTTAGATGAAAATTATCGCCAACATTAATAGCAAGTCAAAGAAGAGAACCATGTCTGTCAGTTCGTTAGATAAACTACAAAATGAAAGAATATTGTTTACTTGATACAGTTTATTATCCATAATTGTATTATATCACCCAACTTACCTAAGTCCATCTTCAATATATATAGTGTATGTTACTATATATAAGTTTTAGAAAGTCAAACGAAGATTTTTCTCAACATTCTGCTGTGTATGCCACAGCTTCAGCAGAATATTCAGATTTTTATTAAACATCAAAATATATACTGTGAAATGGTACATGTAGTATGTATGTTATTTGGTTGGAGGCAATTTAACAGGAAACTCTTCTTTACCTACATTTTGTACTTGCTGGTACTCGTCAGCACAGTGTAGTTGAAATCTGAAAAGAACTGATTTCCCACCTGAGACTCATCACGACTCACTTCAATAGATATTAATTAGTATGCTGCACAGACGAGCACGTCAAAGTCAGGATCGGAAAAGCAAGATACGCTTTCACTAATCTAAAATTAGTTCGGAGATCTACTACACTCAGCACAGAGAACAACATCTGGATTTTCAACACTAATACCGGTCAAGTCAGTGCTGCTATATGGTTCAGAAACTTGGCGCGTCACAAAAAGCACTTCGAACAAACTACAGATATTCATCAACAGCTGCCGCCTACTCTTACCCCATAGTGAAGATGAGATTAGAGGGTGAGAAAGAGTAAGCAACAAGAAACTGTGGCAAGGAACCAACGAAGAACCTATTACCCAACAAATATGCATTGGGAGGAAGTGGATATGGATTAGGCATGCACTGAGAATGCCGATTGGGGACATAACGTGTCAGGCCAGGCACTCTAGTGGAATCCAAATGGGAAACGACGAGTTGGGTGTGGGTGCCGATGGTGACATGGAAGAGATCATGTGAGGAGGAAATGAGAGGTTGTGGGCAGTCGTGGAGCCAGGTTGAAAAGACTGCAGGAGAGAAGAGAGTGAAATGGCGACGTGCTAGTGAAGCCCTATGTTCCATTAGGAACCCAGGGGACAAGTAATGATAATAATAATAATAATAATAATAATAATAATAATAATGCTCTATTGTTTGGTTGTCTAACAGCTTGATTTTCGTTTGTAGTGTTCATGATTAGCAGTTAAATCTTTATTGAGAGTATAGATGGAAAATCCTGAATAGGATGAAACCGCCACCTAGGATTCGGCATATGATGGAAACCATTACCAGGTAGCTCGTATACAATATTCATTTACTAATTAAGGCAAATCAATCCAGTCCTGTAAATTCAGTAGCTAAAAACCTTCAACACTATTTTTTTTTCAACTTTCATCATAACTTTATACTGGGTGATGATTGAAGGTGTGATGCAAGTCTGAACTGCAGCCGGATTCGAACGAGAGACCACTAGGTCACCAGCTTGGTGCTCTACCAACTGATGCGTTACTACGGCTTGATCTTCGAACGTCGTAGCTCAGTTGGTAGAGCACCGGGTAGTTTTATATCAATGAAGTTCAATTGTATTTTAAAGTTTTATTCAGTTTACTTTTTTGTTTGTTTCTCATCTGTATGTATATCAGGTTGATCCAGATGAAGCTGATCGTCGAATGAAACGACGTGAACGTAATCGTAAATCTGCACAAAAATGTAGAGAACGTAAAGTTCAACGAACTCAAGAATTACAATCTCAAGTGGAATGTTTACAGTTAGAAGCAAGTAGATTAATGCAAGAATTGGATAGTTGGCGATCACGAGCCCGACAATGTGTTGCATTGTTACAACATCATTGTCCTGGAGTTTCTGTACCATATTTATCATGTTTAACTGAAGTACCTGCATGTTTAAGTGATTATAAAGAACCTATAGATAATTTAGGTGATTTACCAGGACAAGATAAGAATATGGATTGTGAAAGTCAACAGTATACATGGAAAATGAAGTCATCAACAAAAACCTATACTATAAATGAGACTTCAGATGGTATTTTTATGTCGAATGAATCATCTCAACTACTTCCTCCAATGAATTTATTACATTCCAATATAACATCGAATAGATCAAAATCTTTATTGACTTTCTCATCAAATAATTCTGGTAAAGATAATGAAAATCAAATATTTTCACAGAATTCTGAATTAAATAAAATTTCACTTGTAAATCATAATAATCATGATATATCAGGTACTTTATTAATTCCAATGTCAAGAAGTACTTCAAAAGCATCAATTCATGGTCCAGCTTCTGCATCGTCATCATCATCATCATCATCATCATCATGTTCTACATATGAATTATCATTCCCTTCATTAGAAAATCATTCTCATTGTCTTAATGAAAGTAATACATTTAAAGATTATACACAAGTTAATCCACTTTCAATTATTGATAAAAGAGATAGATCACGTGTACTCAGTGGTCAAAATCTATTGGATAATTCGCCTATTAGTATATCAGTTAAATCAATCCCAGTTGGGAATACTAATAGTAATCAACAAACATGGAGTTTAGAATATCATGAAACATCTGGAAAAAAAAATTCTTCAATGGATTGTTGTAGTCCTTTATCACCATTGAATACAATAACCAATGAAACAAATACTATGACTAATCACTTACAAAATAATAAAGATTATCCAATTAAAATGGATTCAGAATGTTATACAGAATGTGGTAATTCAAAGATGCTTAATAAAACGTAAAATTATCACTTTTAACTATTTGATAGTAATAGTAAAACAACAACAACAACAGTTGTCATGGTAACATAGAAAGGAAAATTAGTTTACCATTTCACGACTAATCTCTAAGTTTATTTCTTCATTTTAAAATGTATTCAATGCTTCCGTTTATTTGCATACTCCATTTTATCGTTTATTATTGTGTGCTTATAAGTGTTACTTTTTTGAAGAAACTCATTCACATATTTCATTATTTCAATTTTCCAGCTTAATACTTACTGAATTTAATAGGCATGTTTAAATAGATAATAATAATAATTCAGGGAATTTGAATTCCGTTAGTTCATCTATAAAGCGCCAATATTTATCTCAATTACATCTCAGTTTATTTAATTATTCTACTCTGTTATTACTTATTGAAGTAAATACTTAATTTCAAAGGTTAGCAGCATTATAACTACCAGTACTACTGATATCATTATGAGTAGTATCGGTAAGTAGTTTGTCAACTTTTACATCTAAATTATATACCATATAATTACTAAGTAACTATGCGAAGTATTTCCGGTGATGATTGACCGACAGGTATTCTGAAAACTAGTAACATTTTTCTACAGCATTTTGATAATCATTTTATCATTTTTATGTACACATTTTCTTGTCAATGTTATTTTTAATTTATTCTAATAAGTTAGGATATTTTTGAAAATTATCCCATCATCTGGAAGCAGATATATGTATGTACACACAAGAAGACAGATTCATGTATGAATTCATTTACTTGAAGACGTTTAAAATAAAACCTTTGCTACCTGTTCTTACTACTTACAATCTCTGGTAGTAGTATGATGATGTGAACTGTCTGTGGAAAAGTGTACTTTTTGTCAATGTAGGACAATATCATACAAACCGGTTGTTTTTCAACAAAATTTCATTTCTAGGTTGTTCGGTTTTTAGGTTTTCCATTTTCCTTTTTGTTTTGGTAAAGAAAAGTTATTTCTACTGTATTACTGTTTGTTGTTTAATAGTAGTATTAACACTATCATTACCATTGCTAATACTTCACTTATTATCATTGTTTTTATCAATTTATTTATAATTTTGGAGAATCGAAAAAGTATTCCCCGTAGTGCCTAAAAGGTCTACTAATCATCCTACTGATACCAGTGCAATGATTGTCCTATGCGTCAGTGTACACTGCACATATTAACATACTACTTAAATGAGTAAATCAGTAGTATATCAGGTTATGCTAAAAACCCGTGTGCTTTTTTCAATATTTGCGATTATATTATTTCAATTTAACTAATATTTATCTGTTTGGTCATTTATTTTATTTCTACACCATGGTACATTTTTTTCTATTTGAAACTGAGCTCATAATTTGATGATCAGTGCATTTTTTTCAACATGCCTTAAACAGTAACAGTTGTATTGTAGAATGTATTTTGTTTTCTCACCTGGTTCGCTCAATTATCATTGAATTTTTCCAGTTTTTCTCCTTTTTGTAATTTTTCTAATTATTACAAAGACAGTGATGTTGTTAGGTGGGAGAGAAGAGGTTTAACGGTATTTGTTTCTAGTTGTTAGAAACTTTCGAATGCAAAGTCATTCTCATCATTTGGTTTATTTCGTTATTTACATTGTCATTTTGTTTTTCCTTCGTTTACTAATTGAATATGGCTTCCGATTTCGAAGTTTTAACTTTTTTTTCAAATTAACGTTTAAATACTGTCAGTAATTAATTAGTTAATTTATTTATTTAGCAATAATTATACTCATAATTAATATCGATATGAAGTTGTTATTACTCTTTAAGTTTTAGTCAATTCATCCTTAAATGGGTCTACAACTGGGGTCATCTACTAGTTTGTTTACTCGGTTTTCAGCCCGGTTGGTTCCAGGTTCGACTCCAGTTCACCTTATAGAGTGGAGCTGTGGTTTAGGGAGGTAACTTTCAACCGATGGGTCGCGGATTCGAGCTTCGCTTCAGCTACCGATGTTTGGGCAGCCAAATAATATCATTATGCCTCATGTATAATAGGTATAGCTCGTTAACTGATGCATAGATATCCTCAACGTTTCTCAGTGAATTTCGTTACTCTAGTCCTATCATCTGAGAAGTCAGCACTTAATAACAGTGACCATTAAACAGTCGATGAGTATGGTAGTCTGGTAAACAAACTTGGATAAGTGATCTTTATGTCAATCTCCCAGAAGCTAGAGTGATAGGTTTTCAGTTCAAAGATAGGCAGTTCTAATGTTGATCAAATGAAAGTTTTCGTTCGAATCCCTTTATTGTTTGCAGTATTTCATAGCTGACTTACTACCGAGAAACACAATATTGGTTAAACAAACTATCAGGAGACTTGGTGTACAGCACCACTTTTTAAATGAAACACTCAAATATATGAGTTGTACTCAACCAGTAGACTTCTGCAACTACTATACGCCCACAACCCTATTGGTAGAAATGTTGAAAGTACAATAACTACTCATGCTTCCTACGAGCTGATTGTTTCACATAGCTGAGGTTTAGTTAGAACTAATAATGAGACCAGTGTGAAGTGTAGAGACATGGACTAAGTACAACAGTTAATTGACAACATAATGAGACTGACAATGACATAGATGAGTCGGATTTCCCAAAGACGATGTGATATATATCCAGTGATTTGTGAGGCATCATACTTGATCACTGTTTAAGTAACTACATTAACAATTTACAGATGAGTTATGTAGTTGCAAGAGTAGTTAGACCATACTTCAGTCTACTTTCAAATCTTTATGTTATGAATGATGGAAAAGTTCCTTTTTTCGCAATTTATTGCACTCTACTTTGAATGTTGTTATGTCAAATTGATGGAAAGGAGGTTTGCTATTAACTTCACACGAAGTTGTTCATTATTCATGTTGTAGTAGGCACTACTGATCAGAATGGATACAAGTAGTATGTGCCGAGAGGAAGATAGAAGTCAGAGGCAATTACAAGCAATGGGTAAATATTCTGCCTAGAGAAACGCAAGAGACAATATGGGCGTATTAAGAGTGAATTGAGATAGAAGCAAAAGACGAAATGAAGCACACTGTACAAATGACTGTTTTAGTGGAAAGTGTAGAATATTTCATCGCTACTGTACAAGATATCATATTAAACATTCCTTCCTGCATCTCAGTCTTGTGGTTTTCTACAGTATGACTGATGTAACTGCGGTTGTTTGATCCCTGATAAGTGATTCGTATTAGATATCAGCCAGCTTGTAGGTGAATATTCTAATTGAATAACTTGCTTCCGGAGAATCGCTGGCAGTTTATAAGCTTGCATTTTACTGAACTTCCATATTGTCATGATATAAACCATAGTCCCACCTATCCATTGTAATGAAGTTATCTGTGATACGTACACCCTATTCAGCTACCACCTGATGCTCATATAGTTCACTGATGTAACAAAGTTTGTAGATAATGTGTATAATGCATCGTTTCCACTATAGACACGCCGAATACCATATGACTGAAGTAATAAACTGACAATTCCTCAGAGATTCTTCGTGTAGACTACATTACATTTCTTTGCAAACATTCATGTGATTTAAAACCATGGATGCTTCTGGATAAAGTTAGCCAGCTTCATGATGAAATCTCTGCAACCAGGTACCAAAGCTAGGGAAACGCGAAATAGTGTTAATTATATGCGTAACCTTTTGCTGGGGATGGATACACGTACTTTCCAATTTGAAGGTTTGTGTGTATGTATTGACGTGTAGTTGATATTCATCACCGACTGATATAATTAGTACAGCCACTGAGAACTTGAGAAGGCCTTGACAGCTAGCACGTACTAGTATGACACTCCTCAACAATGCTCACCCACAACTCAACAAGTTGGGAGTGAAGCGGATACCAACTCAAGACCTTGGTGGATAGTTGCGCTATATCGCTATGTCGGTGGTTCGAATCCTGTGACAGCCCAGACTTTCATTTCATCACATTCCAGTTCAGATGCTCACAGGGGAACGTGTTTGCCACAAAACCTTAGAGTCCTAGATTTGCTATCTAGTGGGATAATGGGTGCGCACAACCGAGGAGTTCCACGATGGAACCAAAGAGCTGTCCAGTGCTCTCAGGTTTTCATTGATTTCCCATTTGACATCAGTATGTGCTAAATACCAACTTTAAATCAGTAAAATCCCAAAAACCTTCAAGCTTTTCCTTTTTAACTAGCTTCGAGATGAGATTTCTCGAAGTTTTAATGAGAATTTGTAACCGTTGGGGCAAAGGAAGTCAGATATGAGGAAAAAAGTCAACAAACTAAATTGTTATGCTCACTTCTTCTTCTCCTTCCTCAGCAGGTATTCATAATCATCAAAGCTTGAAGTTCTCAGTTGTTTACTTGGAAATTGGAACTAACCAGTGTTGTTCAGTATTCTCATCTCTTGCTTGAATGCCAAAAGATTGTCTAAGGACGTCATCCTTACCATCGTAAAACAAAGAAACTTACTATCATGGATACACATCCAGTTGATAAGTAATAATTGAGGTAAAACGCATTTTTCGATGATACTCAATACCAAACAATGCTAGTACAGTCGTCTAGAAGAAGAAACGTCCACAAAAATGTCCATTATTTCGTTAAAGTTCCCCTCAGTTCATTCCATTTCTATTCAGATCATTGTGTTGCAGTTTGCTGAAATTTCTGTGTTTGACAAACATCCTATAACCTATTTCAGACCAACTGCATTGATCTCAGCATTCAGTAAACGAGAAGTGCAAGCAATATTCATATTTTTCGCTCAAAATTAGCCATATTGTTTGATTGGTACTAACTGGAAAGAGTTGTATATGACGTTGGTGTTTATCAGCAAACGAATCTGTTTAATGAACACAACTTATACAGTCCAACCAAAAAGTAATTCTTTCAGATAATGTTAGGGGTTTTGGTATGATTTTACCAATTTGAAAAGCGTAGTTTTCGGACTAGAATTTAATGTAGATATTTATGAGAAGCTTGGTCTCAAGTAGGTGGAGATTTCCCATATAGTTGTTTGTCCAGTTCTTCGTCACACTTGAAAATAAAGGTTAACCTTTAGATTCAGCATTGGACATGGTTCAGTAACGAACTAGCCACTTAATATTCTCTGAGAATATTTAGTCACTGCCATACTAGGAAGCACTCATCAAAAATGATTATTTATTGATTTTGAATTTTGCTACTTAATTAAAATTAAGTAGCCCTAAACTTTAAAAGAAATATGTTAGTCACTTCCTATCGGGCTTTTTGTTTCTGGATGAATGCCTGATTACTAGCTTGTGATAACGTTTGATTTCCTCAAAACAACCTTTTCATCACTCACGAACTATCTTCTAATGCTCTTTCTCCTCATAAAAAGTCTCAAGTGATGTGAGACATCTAGTCAAATCATATGGCTATAAGAATGGCTTATAGACAGACCAAGTCAATTCACCAACAATTTATTGTTATTCTAGTTCACAATATTCGCGTTTAAAACGTAAAATAGACCTGTGATTACAAGTTGGGTTCGTTATTAGGTAGAAACTATCAGTAGTTTCGATGAGATCGCCACTTCTACTTTGTTTTCCTCTGCCTTGAAGTTGCTGGGATGAAGGCTGAATATCTTCATGGCTGTCGTTCAGCTGAAAAGCTATACATTGACAAGACGAATACCAATAGGATGTAGAAAATAGTGAGAGCACCATCCACAAAGAATTCAAAGTCTCTGAATACACAGTCAAGTGTGGAGCCATACACCTGTGCAGACTGCATACAATTGTGTATAAACCACTTCAACTATAAGCAATATTTCCTTTTCATCGTTTCTTTTACACATTCTGTACATTCTTTCTAATACTTGTAAAAACGAATGTTGTTTATCTATACACTTTTTTGGTTGTGGCGGTAATTGCATCTTTTGCTGCTGCTAATTGTGGAAATATAATGTGCTTCTAACGATTCCGACTTCTTCCTCGGTGACTATTGCCTATCGTGCATAATAACTGTTTGTCTTGGGAATTTACAGGACTTCTCATCCTACTTCCAAATATTACGACAATCAAGCCGACCGATGACCACAGCGGAGAGACGACAAATATCGCCTTCTGATCTCTGGAGTTTCCCAAAATTGTGGTGGACAATACCGAAGAGATAACCTCCAAGTAACCAGTGATTAACTGTAACATTGACAATACTATTTATGCTATAACGTATAACCTTTCATAAATGAGTATCATGAAATCCACTTACTTGACATTCTTTGGGTCCACTACACACCATCACAAAATCAGCTGTTACTGAATGACAGTCTACACCATTTATTTGGAAGCGACCTAAATGAAAATTAACATTTTATGTCACCAGCCCTTAAGGCAGAAGTTTCTGTATTTCAATTTTTGTTTCATATTACTGAGTGGTCAAGATAAAGCTTATTGGACAAGTTCATCCCATGGTTGACCAATCAGAATAAGCTATTTAACTTTTGACCTGGTGGATTATATGTTCATGAAAACTGAAAATAACTGATGGATTTTTGTCTATTAAAGTATTTTACTTACAGTCTTTATCTTCTGGCAATAAAAAGAAATAGTGAGAGTCATTCAGTATCGCTTTTGTGTTTTCGAGAAATTCTATTACTGTTATTACTTAACACGATTGAAGGGTTTCAGTATGTGACAAAAAACAAGCACTAATCTTGTATATGGCTATTTTATGCTGATATTAGATGGTTGGATGCAATCACCAAGAAGCTCTGCTTTACCTAAGTTTTATACCTGCATTCACTCACTCACATACGAAACTGAAGTTCCCCAAGAGATGCGAA